TCAGCCTGCCATCGGAGCTGCAGATTTACCATTAAAGGACCCTCATTATTAATCACAACTAATGCTAATTAATTAGGTGTCTGTGTGTGTGTGTGTGTACACAGAGGGACCAGCTCTAAGTTTCAGTTTGTTGTGCGATGTTAATTGGTAACTCGGCCCAGGTCCTTTAATGGAGTGTTTTCCATTTGGAGCAGGGAGCAGTTGACTAACATAAGGGTGAAAAAACATAGACAATGCTCTCATTAATTAAGACTGCGCGAAGAGCTCTGCTCTTGTTACTCTGTGGTGTGTGTGCGTGTGTCTGTGTGTGTGTGCTTGAGCAGTTTGTACAATGAGTGCCTGTATGTGAGCAAATGAATGTTTAGATTTGTGAATATAACTGTAATAATGGCATTTTATTCAGAAATACAGTACCTGCAGTATTACCTCTTGTTGTCCTCAATTTTAAGGGTATTTAATGCTATTGTCAGCACTTTTTTAGGGTCCAAATAAAAGCATTCAAATACTACCTAAAATGATAATTCAGCTACCAGGTGTAATTCGTCCCATAACCTTTGCTTTTCTTTAACAAATTATTAAATAGATATTTCACAGTTTGAGAAAGACAAAATGGAAAAGACAGCAGCATTAACAAATATCCTATTTTATTTGTAAATTTCACTCTTTAATTGTTTTTGGTTGTAGAAACTAATCTTGAGAGATAAATTATGGACAATTGGCTAGGACTGTACATATACAGCCACCTAAGGCTATGAGTGTTTGTGGTTTGCAACACTCAGTACCACAGTCACCCCAATGGACCCGCGGACCAAAAGAGTCCCTAAAAGCGGCGCTAAGGCCTCCATTAAGCACAAAGACAGAGTTAATTAGGAAGCTTATTGCCTCTCCCGAGGGCATGGGGCTCCAAACGCTCTCCTATACACCCTGCTGAGGGAATCTAGGCACAAACTGATGCACTGTAATTAACTGTGCTTAGCAAATCAACAGCAGCCATTTTCTCTTTGGCAGTAGCTGTAAGAGCGTTCAAATTAAAATTAACTAAAGATAATTATTTTTATTTTCGTTTGAATTTAGTCACAATGACTTGTCTCTCAGATGTTTACACCGACATCACCCTCAGGGTATTCTCATTTTTCAGGCAAATGAATCAACATGCAATAACGGCAATCGTGCCGTAGCCCCCTCAACCCCTCCCTCAAATTATGAATCCTCCAAACAATTTCTAAGTAGGTTTAGCAGCAGTGCAGTAGCCATGATAAAAAAAGAAGGTTCTGCTTCTTATCTCTACACCAGGAAAAGCATGAATGCTGTTGGAGAAACGGCACAAACACACATGCTTTTCCTGGTGTAGAGATAGAAATAGAAAAGAGAGGAATGATGAAGAGTTCAGTTTCAGAATCTGGATGTGATGACTAATGGAGGGGATCATGTGTGATTATGTTTGACCTGCAATACAAGGGTAAGCCCCCCCCGTCCCATTTGTCTGTTATCACAGGCAACAAATGATGTCTACAGATAAGCATGATGGCCAGTCCTCGTAAGGTGAGGAGTTCATTTCCATATTTCATGATCTAAGACCCCATCAGTCAACTGTTGGAGCTCTCTATCTGGCTAGATGAAGTGGTCTTTGAATTGGGCACAGGTTAAATAGGTGAATAATGGTCCCACCTTACACATTGCAGTGTTATCGCCTGTCTAGCTTTGTGCATTATGAGCAGAGATGCAGGAACTGGGGCAGAAAACTTAAATTTACCAAAACTGTTGTTGGCTAAATATCATTTTTCATTAGCTTCCCAGAAATATTTTTTGTAACAAATTGTATAGTATACATAAATCAGATTATGTGAGTATACATACATAATTTGCCATACATATTATAAAAAAAAAAGCAATGTGTTTTTTTAATTGACTCTGTTGTCACATAAGAGGTGACAGAGTGAAATAGTTGAATGTAGCAAAAGACACACATTTGTTCTAAAGAAATGTGTAAGTGCAGGAAAGACAGAGGTGCAGAAAAAAATGAGAGAGAGGGGGGGGTTAACTATGTCCACAGGTAGGTTATTTCTCTCTGTAAACATATGTATCCATTTGTCCCGTGGGTGCGTCCCCTTGGCGTCCCGTCGGCAGTGGCTGGGTCACACCTCCATTAAGGGCTTTGTCACAGTGATTAATAGCTCCTTCTATCATCTTTAATTCACTCCCTGATGATGGCGGCCCTGCTCGCTGCTCGGGGTAATCGTGTGATGTATGAGTCCGCCCAACACCTCGTGGCAGAGGTGAAAATCATTCCACCCATGCAGATAGCAGGCCCGGGAACAAATGTTTTCCCTCCTTAATAAAAATTAATGAATTCGGCGTCAAGCGAGAACATTTAAATACATATAACATACAAACATATGCGCATATCTGTGTTTATGCATCGTGCCGTGGTGTATTTTCTGATGCCCATGAGTGATTTTGATGAGGAGATAATACTGTTTTCCTCATTATTTTGCACTAAATCTTATGTGTTGTCTTTCAGGTATCAACATCAAAGTTTAACTTTTTTCTATTTTACACTTGCTTTCTTGTACTATCCTGATGTGCCTATCTCTGTTGAGAATGCAGTTGAAGTCATGGTGCTGCTCCCAGCTGGAGTTCCCCTTCGCTACCCAGAATTCTTTTAGACCTCCCTATTTGATGAAGGGCGTCAGCTTGCAATGATGAAGTAATGTCCATTACTGAACAAACAAACAGGATTATTTGCTTTAAGTAGACTGAGACATACACACGCACGCACACACACACACACGTATACACACACATATCAATCTGATCATCTGTGTCTAAGTACAGCTCCGGTCTTTGACTTATCAATCATCTGCACATGAAACCACAATTTTTAAAACTCTGAACATAGCATATTTGCTTTCTGCTAACGTTTACCTTACAGAAACGTATATGTTTATGAGCTGAAATGCTCTCGTGGAGTCCATTGGACCGGGGGAATTTCTGGTCTAAATCAAATATAATCTTTGAGACCAGTGTGAGGGGGGACATGTCAAAGGAGAAAGAAGCAATGGGGGGATACAGTTACCTTTAAAAGCTCTTGTCCCTCTACCATATGGCAACCTTCACATCCAGGACTATAACCGCGGTACTCCGTGCTGAAAATCATTACCTTGACTCCGAAAGCCACATTGAGTTTCATGCCCGTCCCGGCTCAGCAACGTCTTTAAAATAAAATTCCCCTCAAACTTGCTGGGCCCACACAGTGTGTGTGTGTGTCAAACACAATAGTTGCGTAGACGCTGAGATCGGGTATTGCTCCAGGGAATCACTATGAAAAATACTTAAGTTGTAGATCTGGTTGGACAAATACATGAACATAGTGCATAACACAGAAAATGCAGCCAAATATCTGTAATAGACAGCTGATTCAGCACATTGTGTTCATGCATTGGGTTTTTTGTTCCCAACAGCAAGCGCACGTTTTGACAGGGAATTATGATTCTTAACTGGCAGAGGAAAACACCTCCTGAACTACTGCGGTAGTTGACAGTTTTGCATTACTTTTCACAGGACGTTGTGCTTTGACCTTGCACCTTTTTTAAGGATATTTATATGCAACCCACTTTGCTTATCTTGTTCATCGAGTATAGTGGTCAAGGTTGTGGCCGTTTAAAGGGGAGAGCACATGAAAAAGTTCAATGACTTTGTCCAGGTCTTGAGTTAATCTCTCAGGTTAGTTTATGACCACCTGTGGCCAATCACCGTGACCCGTTCAGTTAATCAGAAGCACGGTTACTTCATGGCCAGTGAACAAGAAGTGTATGTGTGTGTATCTGTGTGGATCAAAGGTTCCATGACTGACAGCGCAGCGGTACAGTGTCACACAGGCAGCCCTTTAGGAATGTTCCTCAGCCCAGGGATGGGTTGCGGAGCCTCATTAGCAGAGCCCCCTCTCACCGTGGCCTGTCGGCCCGCGTTAGGCGCTGCCCACGTCAGATGCACGCTGGGGGAGCCTGCAGCTTCCTGTGAATCATTTCCGGCTTTGAGTGTCTTTCTGTCTCCTCGTGTGACACCTGGCCGGCAGTCTGTCCCGCTAGATTGTCCGTTTGCTCGTTTGGTGACCTGTCCGATCATCTGCATGTGAACTTGTCTTTCTCCGTGTCTGACTTCCTTCGCATGTGAAATGTATCCGTCTTTCTGATTACTGTGCTCTCTGTCCTCCTGTTTGGGAGAACAATGCTACTTTGCTCCACCTGCACACTGTGTCAACACTGCGATTGATTGAATCCCTCTTCCACCATTAAGCTCCACCAGCCACGTGTGCCACTCTGAAGAAGCCCAGTGTGGGTTCAAGGGTCGTATTTCTATGTCCTGTTTCACTCTATTCACAATTAACCCCAGCATGCTTCCCTCTGTTTTCACTGTACGGTGGAGAAAGAGTTCAGGAAAAGGAAATATAAAACAGTGAGAGCAGTACAATGCTGAGCAGACCTTGCATAGCCACCTTGGCATCAGCCCAAACTAATAGCAAACAAACCATGTTGTTGCTGCAGGTTGTTTTGTTTTAGCTCCAAACGCCTGTTTTTGACATATCGGGTGTTCTTTATAATTTTGATATGAATATAAATGTGTCCATTGGTTTTTTCCTAGGCCAGGGACATACCTAATGATTAGAAACTAGAAACAAGAAAAACATTGATATTAGAAACAAGTGTGCTCCTGTAATGCTCTCCTGCTTATTATTACTGAGCCCAATGAAAGTGGAATGGAGGCTTTGTCACATGACACCGCCACATGTTTTTATCATGGTATCTGTTGGACCGGCTGTCTTCCGCTAACTGATAAAGTTAAGATATGTACACTTTGTATTTTTAACTCAATTGTCAGTGCTGTCAGGAACTCATTGGAAAGATAACCTGTTGCCATCGTTAGTTTGTGATAATCCATCAATCACAAAGATATCCCTGAGCATCACCCTCACGTAGAGACTCTCTGTGTGTCTTTCACAGGTGATGGTGACGATGAGTTCGCCCTCTACCCATCCGAGATCTTAGACGATGTATGTGGCTCTGATGGTGATCCCGCAACTTCTTCGGCCCTGGCAGAGTACCCAGCGTCCCCTCTGCTCTCCGAGGATGAGGCTTCACCCCAGCACCCCTTGTCATTCCAACACCCGAGCAGCTTTTTACCCCAAGAAGAAGATTTGACCATTCCCCTGGAATTTGAACTGCGAGAGTCAGCAGTTCCAGGCGGAGGCCTGGGCATCTGGAGCCGCAGGAGGGTTAATGTCGGAGACCGCTTTGGACCATATGAGGGAGAGCGCATGCCTTGTCTCCGAGACCCCACTCAAGGCTGGGAGGTAGGAACATGATAAACGATGAAGAGTTCTTGTGCATATTCTCAACGTGATCCAAAATGATTGCCTTGCAGAGTTGGTACTAAAACATCGACGTTTGACAGAATTAGTGTTTCAATAAGTGTACCGCAACCGTTATAATATCAAGAAAACCGGCATTTTTTAATTACGGAGTGACCACCATGTTTTTCAATGGTTTTAGGTTAGATTACATTGTAACAGTATAGCTTAAGCTTTGGTACAAGTATGAAAATTGCAGTTACCAGGATTTTCTGTAACAGTAATAGCACACTTTCTGACAAGGTTTTTTTCCTTGGCCAATATACACTGTATCATTCGCATCAGGACTCTTTTTTAAAATATATATATATATATATCCTCCCATGTCGTCATGCTCACATTTAGCCGAGTGACCACAAGGCTGTTGTTGCCGTTTGTTGCCCAGTGATCTAATATGAGCTCAGTGCCACTGAAAGAAAGGGAGTCGAGGTTGTGCTCTTAACTCAATTAAAATGAAAAGCCATAAATCCCCTTTTCATCCCGGTTAGGGACCCAGTGCTGCCATTGGCAAATCACATATTGGTCAGCCGGCACAAATAATCGAAGGCAGGGTCACAGGACAAGGTCAAAGGTTAGATGCGGCCTCCGTCAGTGTCATGCAGGTTCGGTTTTATAGAGTAGGAGGAAGGGGCTGGCAGAGTATCAGCCTCATTAAGTCTCCCGAAATAGATCCCCTCTAATTTCGATGTGAGGATTTAGTCCTTCATACTCAGGCCTTTGTCCCTTTGTCGGACGGAACCAAGCTTATTAAGAACTGCTGACCATGCAGTTCATAAAGTGAAAAGTCGCAGGTTTAAATAAAAAGATGATTCAATACAACAGTCCTTCTCTTACCAGAGTCTCCCAAACCCTTAAGTCCATTTCAGTGCTGTGCTTTAAAGCGGACTGAGAACATGTTGGTAAAGTATCAACATTCGGCTCATATAAATAGTTTGGGATTTGGACCGGTGCTCGTTAGACCATTACTCCAGCCCGTCAGCTCTGACTCAGTGGTTTTGGCGCCTCGAACCAAATCAAAATAAATATCTTTCTTTTTTTCACTCTAGACCACATTTCTCCAAGAAGCAACTTCTCCCTCATTATCAACTGCTGGGTGAGACGCAATATATAAATCCTAAATGGCTCTTAAATTGTAGTGAGGGAAAACTCTTCATTTTTACCCATTTTCAGAATACAGAATCTTAATAAAAAATCTCTGTCCCTCTCAAAGAGATTTACAGCTGGTTGAACAAGCTCTCTGGGTTATTCTTTTTCCCAGGGAAGGAAATAAAGGAAAAAGAGGTTTCATGAATTTTAATCCGGTGGTAATTTATGGGGATCTTGAATAATAATATGTATTTAAAAAGCTGGGATGTGTGTGTGTGTGTGTGTGTGTGTGTGTGTGTGCGTGTGTGTCTGGGGGCAGGCGGGTGGGGGGATTGAGGGGAAAGATGGGATCCTGGCGAGGCAGCACTGTATCACAATGTTTAATTACCACCCTGACAGCGAGCTATAACTCTTTCCATTAAGTAAATAAGTTGTAAAGAATTTATGATGAAATGCCACATTATTCAGAATGGATATTCAGTGATGACATCCCTCTGCATTAAATATGGTAAATGCCATTAAGCCCTCCTGACCCTCCCCCCTCTCCTCCCATGCCCACCCGTTCACCATCCCTCATCCGTTGCTCACCCCCCCCACCCCTCCCGCCTGCAAACCGTCAATATGCCAATAAGCCTGCGGAGGGTCTGTAAAAATAAAATTGATTTGGTAAATGTGAGTTAAGATAGATATGTTTGCTTTCATCATCAATTCCGTGCGGCGCAGCGAGGTGATGTCACCGACCGGGGAACGCTAAAGTGGCGCTCCCATCTGGAGCGTTTGATGGAGGGCCCTGAGCGGCCCAGGCCAGTGGTGACAGACTGGGGGAAGTTTGTCACCAGGGAGGCCACCGTTCCTCAGAGCCATCACCATAAATTTGGGGGCTTTATTCATAAAGGGGACGAGTGAGTTATAGCGTCCGTGATGCTTTATGAATACAGGAATGGTGACTTATGGGAAAGATAGGTCCGGTAAATAAGGGGTAGAGAGGCAGGAGTGAGCGGTCTGTTGGGCTGAGATGCCCACCTACACTGCTGTATGCAGAACCAGGGTGCTGACTGTGTCAGTACTCATAATGCTCACTGTGTGTTTGTGCATGCAGTTAGATGTGTGTTTGTGAGCTGTGTTAAGGATTTTAGAATTTAATCGTTTCCCAGATATTGTCTGTCGGTATAAACAATTTATCACAACCCAACCACTTTGATGACTGAAGCTTTACTTTCAGTTAAAAAAATTCTGAAAATAGACTGGATTTATTCATTCGAAAGATTAATGAACTAACGCATTAATAAGGAATTAATTTAATGGAATTTGTATTTACAACAGAACAATAAACACCTAATATAGGAACAATGGGAGTTTTGAAATAAATCCAAATAGCTTTGAATATCTAAATAGAAAGTGAAGTGCCCTTTCAACCCTGGTGAATAGTGAAAGTCTTATTTGGACCCACCAAAACAAAGCTGACGAGCGATTCTATTACCAAAGTTTAGCACATGGGCTGAGCTTAAATTCATCTAACGGGGCAAAGAAATCAAATAATAGAGGGTTAAGTACTCGATATGTTTTCCCAGACTTTATTTAATACTTTCACTCAAGTAATAGAAATACAAATTATAAAACATGAACTGAAAATATATTGCATTCCAACTTTCATGTTTGGGATGAAGTGGCCAGCTCTTGCCCACAGTATTTGCATGCATTTCTCCATGGCTTCCTTGAAAGTACTCTTAACGCCTGGATGCCCACCAGTTTATATTCTGCTGTCTCTCTCTCTGAGTCGTTAGGCACATTGAAATTCAAACTCCATTTGTGTCTGTCTTCTTCTCAGCAGCGGCAACAATGAGACAGAGCGTTAGAGTCCGGGAGAGAGTTATCCAGCACTCAATGAGCCTTTGGGCTCACCCAAACTCGCAGCCCCACGGGATTATGGGCCCTGGGCTTAGAAAACCGGGTGCCTCCTGCTGTAGGAGCGATGGGCGGAGCAGGTTAGGGGTGCGAGAATGGGTGGGATGGTGAGTGGGGCGGGACAGGGGCGCTTTAGGGCCTTTGTGCACCTCTTGAGTGAGAGGCGGAGGTGCAGGTGGAGGCGATAGTGTTGGTGGTGGGGAGGTGGTGAAAGAGATTAGCAGTGATGGTGAATGGGAGTAGAGGATTAGGTGGCTGGGCAGGGCCTTTCCTGCCTCTGCCTGTCTCCTGAACCTCTTGGTCTTGAGAGGATGGGAGGATGTAAGGAGGAGAAGCAGCTGCCTGGCCAGGAGGAGACCCATCATTTAAACTGTTGTCAGCTGAAAATCTTGCATTTTCTAATGATCTACTTAGAAAAACAAATGTGTTTGCATTCGGTTTGTTTTAGTGTTGAATGAGAAACTTTCAATTTGAGATCCCAACAGACATTTTGTGATAAAACATGAGCTTATATAGCCTGTGGTTATGGTGCCAGCAGGCGATTTGTCACATTTACACAACCGCGGAAATCTCGCATGCAAAGTTTACAGGCAACTGTAGTTCATCTGTCGTTACTTTTTTTGCCTTTTTTATATGTGCAGACAGTGTGAACTCTGGGTGAGGTCGCTCCTGGAATCGGGGTTTTTTTGTGGGTTGCATGTGTGCACACATGCGCTCTTGTGTGTGCATGTGTGTAAGACAGAGTGTGAGAGCGTGGATGGAGGGCGTTTCGAGAGGGCGTGTTTTTTGTGCACGGATAAGCCGCTGTCCTGAATGAATGCAGATGTCTCTGGCTGGCTGTCCGCCTGTCCCCTGTGCACTGACGGCCTGTCACCTCTCTCTGTCACAGGGAGAAAGAGCCACTCTTGGTCCTCCTAAAAGCCCCCTAATCCCCGAGCCCCTGCCACATCCCATCCACTGTCAGCGGAGATGGCCCTGCCCACAGCAGCGCTTAGAAAGGCAGGCGCTAGGGATGAACCCCTCTGTCACTCACGCACCTCTCAATGGACACACATCTTCACATTTTCACACACACACACACGTATCGTTTTTTAGAAACACTAAGTGAAAAAGTCCTGCGTCTGCAAAGGCGATGTGAATGGCGGTTGTCAATGCATTGTGCTGCATGAACACAACGGCCGCGCTGACATCATTGTGGGACCCGTTCTCTTTCATGAGAAGAGCACTAACTAGCTGCTGAGACACTGTCTGTAATTATGAAGGAGCCGCTCACAGCATTCGCTGGGGTCTCATTGGCACTTAATGAATTTTAATGGGGACAATAAAGATCATTAAACTCTGTTGTGTGTGACCGGATAGTGTAAAGAGGGAAATGTGTCAACCATGTAGACGGAATGTTCTGGACAAGAGGCTGGTGAGGAAACACAAGGCCCTTAATTATACCTTCTTTTATTGTAAATACAGCTACACTTCTGAGCTGTGTCGGACGAGTAGTTGGGACACATAGTTGGATAGACCTGACGGTAAGTAACTGCTAGGGTTGTGGGCTAAAAGTAAACATGGTCATGGGCACAAGAGTTTAGCTGGATTTGAGCTAAGAACAAGGCTTAGTGTAGAACATGAACTTGGACTAAGAGGTCTGAGGGTACAGGACAGACTTAGGGTGAAGTGGGTTTTCACCTCTTTCTATAGTTTTAATAAAGTCTCCAGCAGTTAACATTGAGGAGTGCCTTGTTATTGTCCTGCTTAGAGGCTGACCAGTCACAACAAACACATAACTATATGGCGTACTAAGCTAAGCTAAGTCTAGCTTTCACCCTGGTTTCTGAATCAACTTGCATGCAGTTTATGATCTGATTCCTACTTAAGTATGATTTGATCATAGTTTATTTGCTATAACCATGGTCTTTTCTTTAACATATCCATACTGTAGTTGCGATGGACAGATATTGTAGAAAGTGAAAATTGTAGCTTTAGACATAAAAACAATTGGTGGCATTGAATGTAATCTGGGGTTTTACAAAGTTATCCTCAATCAACATTTTTGTCTGGCAATTGAGTTGTATAAAACTTGTCAATATCTATTCTATCAAATCTTTTATTTACTACTATATCTATAATGTC